TCTATCGTACTAGCTACTAAAGGTAGAGGCGACTAGTAGTATATATATAAATTCCGATAATAGTTTCCGGCCCTTTATCTAGGGTAGGAGGCTAGACGACTCTACTCTACTTATCTTAGTACCGTCTAGATTTTATAAATAAGAATATTTTAGTAAAATAATAGCCTCGCCCGCTAAAATACGGCTAGGAAAACCCCTAGTAATTTTATTAAGTCTAGTATCCGACTATTACGTTATACGTATTAATGCGTTTGCTAGTAGTATATATAGTGCCGACTCGCCGTATAATATTAGTGGTGCGGCTAGCAGGCGACGCTGTCTATAGAAGTGCGTTTTACTGGTCCTCTGCGGCCCTATACACTGAGGTATATGGCGCAATGTACTAAGGGGCAACCTATATACCGCACTAACCTGTTTCGTCTAGTCGGAAGCGGTTTTAGGGGTTTTGCAACAGTGACCCCTATAGGCTGCCGTATTGAGGGGGTATTTATACGAATAGATACAAATCTGGGACCCGTGGTGGCCCTGAATCAGTGCCAATTCCCGTGTATCCCGATTAGGGCAATGTTCCTCTACTGTATCGATACCTGACTCAAGTCCTTGTGTCTGACCTGCCTCTTTCACCGGAGTTTATACGTGTGCGGATTAGACCGTCAGTCTGCTCCCTCTGACAGGTACCTACATGCGATAGGAGCTACAGATTCGGATTTGTGTGGTTGTGGACAGGCACGAGAAACAATTGATCACTTTCTCTTTCGATGCACAAAGTGGATTACGCAACGGAACATTCTCTTCGAATGCGCGAGGGCCAAGATTGGGAACTTGTCTTTCTTCTTGGGAGGAAAGGCTGCATCGGATGGCGACAAATGGAAGCCAGACGTGCAGGCTGTTCGTGCGGCGATCAAATTTGCAATTGAGACGGAACGGCTCGACAGAAACCAGCAACCATCAGAAAACAATTGAACTCTAATAGGCAACTGCACTAACACATCTCAGCTTCGAACTGGCAGACCGCGCTTCAGCTGCTGCGAATAGGATGCTGAACACTTGGAGAATTCGGCCTTTAAGCAGGCCTGTCATGGGACCAATGATAACGAGGCTAAAAAGCAAGTGATATGACGACAATCCGTGGGGCTTGGGGAGTCAGGTACCAAACGTGCTGAAATGTAACTAGATTGTGTAAAGGCCTTATAGGGACCTCCCTCCGGGCGAAATAAATCCATCCATCCATCCGCGACTGAAAGTTAAACATCAATCCACAAGAACTCCACAGCAACGGGGCCAAAATTTGTCCAACTTAAAATGTGATGAAAAAGCGACTGCGAGATGTGCATCATCCTGTTTCGCAGTCATCAAGCCATTGTGGTCGCTTGCTATTCCGCTGCAGCCGTCCCGAGCTCCGATACACCACTACCATCTCCCGATCTGTCAAGATCGGAACGCTCATTCACTGTGCTGCCTAACAGGCAGCAAGCAGTTCGTAATGCCATATTAGTGATGGATTCGAACCTTCTAGGTGACGTCGTCATCTATGCTGCCTGGGTGGCAACATCGCCACTCAGCCCAAAATCACAAGTATAAGAAGCCAACTTTTCACTATCACTTAGATAGAGAATTAAGAGTCTTTCGTTGCCCGATTCACAGGGGATCTTCTTCCCGATCGTTGCTCAGTCACCCACACTGTCCGTGCATCCTGTTGTGTGACACGATCACTCTCAACAGCCAGAAAATGTCTTTGGGCACGAGGCGTTCGGCCGGGCGGAATCCTTGCCTTCTTTGCTAAGTTTTTCTCTGGCCTATCTGGCGCTTGCGATGTTACCGGAAGCTCTGGTCAGGCTTTCTAACCATACGCCATACGCCATACGGACCTGTATGGTTTATGGTGTATGTTTTATTCTCATATGGTGAACTAAACCATATATTGCCCATACAAGAAATGACGTCATTGGGCCATACTTCCCGTGCCCGAGGGGGTGTTATTACTGCACTCTTCGGCCGACTCGGACCCGTATTGATCAACCTCCTCTATTCTTAACCCTGCCGTGATGCCGCTGCGGATCCAGCTTTTCAGGCACTCTCCTCTCTCGACTGTCGATGCTCCGAGAAGCATTCGATCCCAAGAGATAGTGCGTCTCGCAGGGATAAAAAATGGAAGGTAAGAGTCAATCTTGTTCATTGTCCTCTATCTAAAATGAATGTGAGAAGTTCTGTCTCCTTATAGTCCTGAGGGAATATGACTGCCTTGTGGTGGCGAATTTGCCACTTGCCACCCAGGGTGCTTTTGTAATGTTAAGTCCCTGCACATAGAAATGGGCACCCCCCTGTTTTGGGCACCCCAAAAAAATCACGACCATTTTCAACACCATTAATTCAATCCCTTCTCACTGCCCACCACCGTGCACTACGATACAATCGTCACCTATTTCTGAAACCTCAGCTTCGGTTTCATCAGATTCTTCATTCTCAGCTGCGTTCACCTCCTCCTGCGCCCGTCGTATTGCCTCAATATTGGCGAACCTCGAATTCGGGCTCGTGACCACCCTCTTCCTTTTTTTCGGCTTGACGGCCGCCAATTGTGTTTCCAGTGCCTGAATCTGCAATTGAGCTTTTGCTAAAAGGCCATCCTTCTCGTCAAACCCTTTGTGATCTTCCTGAACAGCAATCTCTTCGTGGGCACGTCGTCGTCTAGCTGGTTGAATTGAACTACCTGAACCTTCAGATCTTGCGAGCGCCTCGGGGTCGACCACGCAATCTGGGATGTGTCTGATTGCCAGTCACTGGTGGGTAAGTGGCTATTGAATGCATTGGCCACATTTTTCGCGTTCTTTTGCGTCTGTTGCTGTTCTCCAGCAGAAGAGGGCTCAAAGTGGCTTCGCCATCGACACCGGCCACAAACCCGTCGCTTTCCAGCCACCCTTGATGTTTGACACAGTGAGCGCTTGCTCGCGTGCTTTCTGGTAGCAGGAAAGAAAGTTTTGCTTGCCGACTGGGCTTGAATCGGTCAGGAGGCTGAGAAATCCGACCTGTTTGCGGTAGTAGTGCTTAAGAGCGGAGAAGACAGACAAATCGAGCGGTTGCAGCACATGAGAGGTATGGGAGGTAAGAAAAGAAGGTGAATCTGATGCTGGTAGCATAGATACATGAAGTCAACCGTCTCGTGACTTCCGTGGCCGTCCAATACTAGCAGTCTTCGCTCCGAAGGGTCGGGTGGCTGGGTTCTTGGAATGAACACCTTTTCGAGCCACTCCACCGCAGTTTGGTCCGAAGTCCAGCCGTTCTTTGTCGCAGTGAATTGCCAGTCACTAAAAGTACTGAGATCTTCTGGGAACCACTGTTGCTGGACCGATTTGCCCTTGAAAATGACGGGTGGAGGGAGGAAGGTGCCGGCAGCGGACACGCACTCGATGAACGACGTCCAGACCCGAGAACCAGGCGTCTTCTTTTGTACAGATCGTTTTTCAGCACTGCCAACGACCAGGCCATTCTCCCCAAGTCCTTCCATGATGCCTGCTTCATCCATGTTGTACCTGTTCTCCGGCTTAATAGCCAGAATCTCGGGAAGGAAGAAATTGTTGAACCAAGGCCGAATTACCTCGGTAGAAGCGCCGTTGACACGCGCAGAGTCTCTGTGATGGCACTTCTGGGTCCGAACTGCAGGATTTCGTCTTAAAAATGCTTGCATCCAGTGTTTTCCGAGCGGTGTGTGGTCTCCTTTGACGGCGAGCATGCGCTGCGCGAACTGCCTGATCTGCGAGTGAGTGGGAGGAAGGCCCAAGGCGTCCTGAATGAGAATCCATTCGGTAAGTTGCTTTTCCTGTGTCTGAGAAAGCCTCTGAAGAGCAGAAAATGCATCCTTTCTGCATTCGTGACCATGCATGCGATTGTAAAGAGTTGCCCTCGGACGCCCCAATCGCGAGCAGCCTTCTTGGCGGATCCGCCATTGGCGATTGCCTCAAGGGCGCTGTGAATGTCAGACTCTGTATATTTCATCAGTAGTGGCTTGAAGACACATGCGTCAATTTTTTAGCAGATTGGATGCGTTTCCGCGGTGAAATTTGCTGTTGAAGTTGACGCAGCCGTTTAGGTTGGGCACCCATCTTGGGTGCCCAAAACAGGGGGGTGCCCATTTCTATGTGCAGGGACTTATCTAGAACGTTCGATGACATCGCTTATCGGTGGTGCCCGCAATTGCGTCGTAATTCACTTAGGCCACGTGACCACTTATCGCCCGCAAAACGCCGCCCGTGAAATCGTGTGCAGGACGCCTGATAAGTGCATTTGATAAGTTCCCACCCAACTTATCGGGTTTCCGGCCAACACCAGCCCAGACATTCGCCCGTAGGAACGTTGCCCGATCGACCGAGATGGCCGCGGACGACTCGTACACGGCAGCTGACGAGCGCGCCCGTGCCGCCCGGAGGGCGGGCATCCAGGCGAAGAAGGACGAACAGCCGGCGAACACGGCGCGGAGTTACGCGGCGAAGCAGCGGGAGTGGAAGGCGCGTCCCCCGGCCGGTCCTCCACTTCGATCCCTGTCACGTACGGCCCCCCTAGGCGGCTAACAGACAAATACGTATAGGCCTGGTGCCATACGCCTCGGGCTGCAGCAGACGGCTCGCTCTATAGCTGGCCCGACGGCGAGCTCGTAACGCCGGACAAGCTGGCGGCGTGGCTCAAAGAGGATATCCTGTTACGACGCGTTGTGCCGCCGCAGAAGAAGAAGCCGCGCGCGCGGGTAAGGTTAGGGGCGACGGCAACGGCGAGGCCGTACAGGTACGGCAACAGCGCGAACAGGAGCAGCTCGAGGCCGCGGCCATGGCAGAGGCCGAAAGCCTGGCCGAAGCTTTGAGGTCCCCTGGCCGAGGCCGCTGAGCTGCTCGCTGACGACCGCGAGGGTTACGTGCCACCCACAGGCCTCGCGACGGCTGCAGTAGACCTTACCGAAGGGTCTTTGCTTACGAGGGCACTATCGACGCCTATATCGCGGCCGTTATCGAGCTATGGAGGCTCCAGGTGGCTCACGGCAACTCGAATACGGAGAATCCCGGGGCGCCGCCGTACGAGGATTCCTTGAGCAACGGGGCCGGCAGCGGGGGAAGCACGACCGAGCCTCCTTTAAAGACCGCGGGAGCGACGGGATCCAGGCCGGCTACCTCCCCGATGAATGGCTTCGGATCCAGGATCTCCTTCTCACTGGCGCCGCGTATACGCCGCAAAACCTCCGTACGCGAGTCGACCTCCTCTTCGGCCACTACTACCTCTTACGGGGGGAGAACCGCCGCAAGATGGAGCTTGCAGACCTGTCCCTACTCGACTATCCGCCTTCGGAAGGGCCGACCCCCTGTGGTTGCCTGGTAAGCCTTTTACGGGACGGCAAGCTAAATAAGACGGCGAGGAAGGAGTTTATGGGCGCGCTCCGGCACAAGGACCCCTTATTCTGTACGCAAGGGCCCTAGCACAGCTCTTCTTTGGCGCTGGCACGTCGCCGGCGAACCGCCCCGTCCTTCCGGCGCCGTCAGGACTGGTATCGGATCAAGGTCCTCGTCGGGCGGGACCGCGAGCAGGAGCTCTCGTACCCGACGCAGCTACAAGAGACCTGGCGTATCTTCGGCGCTGCCGGCCTTATCGCGTCGAAGAAGACGCACCTCCCGCGCAGGGTGGGCGCCCAGGACGCGGAGACCCATGGCACGTCGCTCGCCCAGATCTCGCAGGCCGGCCGCTGGAACCAGAGCGTGCTCTGCCAGGCATATCTTACGCACCTACCGCGGCAGTTCATGCGTATCGTCGCCGGCTTCTCGGCCTCCCCGGGGGACTACTTCCTCGCGCGTGCGGCTCACGAACCCCCGTACGTCTTACAAAAGCAGCTGTGGCCGTGGATCGAGGAGTGGGAACCCCGCTTTGAGGCGCGGGCGCGCCGGCAATGCTGGGCAGAAGGCGGTCTCGACGACGACGACTTAGCCGCCGACGGCTTCCTTAAGCTTATGCGGCGCCTGCGTATAGTACTTCTGCAGGACCTGGCCGTCCTACAGCTCCGCTACCCGTCGCTACCGTTCTTCGCCTACGCCCCTTTTAGCGGGCCCGAGTGGGACGAGTTCGCCGTCGCCGTGCGGTCCACCGCGGTAGGGGCTATGGAGCCGGTAAGCCTGCTCGTACGACGCGCGCTGCCGGAACTAAGCGGCGTCATAGAGAGCACGCGGGAGGCCCTGTTACAGAATAGTCAGCGGCTCGCCATCCGGCTTGAGGCCCGGCTGGACGGGATTCAGGGCGGCCTCGATGCCCTCCTCCAAGGCAAGGTCCCTATCACCTTTACCGGTTACTTCGGAGCCGGGTCAGCAGAGGCGCTGGCGCCGGCCCCGGCCCCGGCGCCGTCAACAGTACCTACCTTGAATCTCAATACAGCTCCGGCCCCGGCCCCCGACCCAGAGCCTCTGGTACCAGGCATGCCTATCGTCACAGCCCTGGCAAGGGTCTTTACGGTGGGGGACGTCTGGAAGGAGTGGGAGGAAGGGTTTGCAGGTCAGAAGGCCGTACGGGAGCTGGAAGAGACGTGGGGAAGCCGCTGGCGCCCGGGGAACGGGGTCAGAGTGCAGTTCTGTCGCCGGAAGGTGATCTGGGACGAGCTGTTGGCCCGTATGGCGTCCGGCAAATGCAAGGAGGCGGCCGTTGCAGAGCTAGAGCTGTTACGCGCCGGCCGAAGCTTGAACCGACTCGTCGACGAACTCAAACAGCGCCGACGGCGGGGCCAGGATCGGGGCCAGGGCCAGGGCCAGATACGGGTACAGGTAGGGACCCCCGTGCCTGATGACCCAGGTCCAGGCCCGGGACCAGGTCCAACTCGAGGTCAGGGCCGTCGGGGGCGGAGGACCCGGCTGGGAAAGCGGACCGCCCCTCGTCGACGTAAGCCAGCCGCCTCGTAGAGTCTTTACACATATTTATATCCATGTAACTAGACATATTTTTGAGGATCAAAGGGCCGTAGGATCAGTGCATTACTATCTCACAGTTCCTGTGGCCGAGCCTAGCCCCCCATTACCCATTCGCGGCGCTGCAACGCAAATATCTCGACGGGCAGTAGCCTATACGGAGTGCTCCTCGACCAAACGCGCCGCCGGAGTAGTAGTCCCCAGGCCCCGGAATGGCCTGGATTGGGCTGCTGGCCGTGGAGATATTCGCGTGCGCGCCGCCGGGCACTTATCAGATGGTAGATGTGTAATCGCATACGATTTCCCGAAATTACTCCGCAAATCGACCCCACGATAAGTCCTGCTTATCGGTGGTGCCCGCAATTGCGTCGTAATTCACTTAGGCCACGTGACCACTTATCGCCCGCAAAACGCCGCCCGTGAAATCGTGTGCAGGACGCCTGATAAGTGCATTTGATAAGTTCCCACCCAACTTATCGGGTTTCCGGCCAACACCAGCCCAGACATTCGCCCTGTAGGAACGTTGCCCGATCGACCGAGATGGCCGCGGACGACTCGTACACGGCAGCTGACGAGCGCGCCCGTGCCGCCCGGAGGGCGGGCATCCAGGCGAAGAAGGACGAACAGCCGGCGAACACGGCGCGGAGTTACGCGGCGAAGCAGCGGGAGTGGAAGGCGCGTCCCCCGGCCGGTCCTCCACTTCGATCCCTGTCACGTACGGCCCCCCTAGGCGGCTAACAGACAAATACGTATAGGCCTGGTGCCATACGCCTCGGGCTGCAGCAGACGGCTCGCTCTATAGCTGGCCCGACGGCGAGCTCGTAACGCCGGACAAGCTGGCGGCGTGGCTCAAAGAGGATATCCTGTTACGACGCGTTGTGCCGCCGCAGAAGAAGAAGCCGCGCGCGCGGTAAGGTTAGGGCGACGGCAACGGCGAGGCCGTACAGGTACGGCAACAGCGCGAACAGGAGCAGCTCGAGGCCGCGGCCATGGCAGAGGCCGAAAGCCTGGCCGAAGCTTTGAGGTCCCCTGGCCGAGGCCGCTGAGCTGCTCGCTGACGACCGCGAGGGTTACGTGCCACCCACAGGCCTCGCGACGGCTGCAGTAGACCTTACCGAAGGGTCTTTGCTTACGAGGGGCACTATCGACGCCTATATCGCGGCCGTTATCGAGCTATGGAGGCTCCAGGTGGCTCACGGCAACTCGAATACGGAGAATCCCCGGGGCGCCGCCGTACGAGGATTCCTTGAGCAACGGGGCCGGCAGCGGGGGAAGCACGACCGAGCCTCCTTTAAAGACCGCGGGAGCGACGGGATCCAGGCCGGCTACCTCCCCGATGAATGGCTTCGGATCCAGGATCTCCTTCTCACTGGCGCCGCGTATACGCCGCAAAACCTCCGTACGCGAGTCGACCTCCTCTTCGGCCACTACTACCTCTTACGGGGGGAGAACCGCCGCAAGATGGAGCTTGCAGACCTGTCCCTACTCGACTATCCGCCTTCGGAAGGGCCGACCCCCTGTGGTTGCCTGGTAAGCCTTTTACGGGACGGCAAGCTAAATAAGACGGCGAGGAAGGAGTTTATGGGCGCGCTCCGGCACAAGGACCCCTTATTCTGTACGCAAGGGGCCCTAGCACAGCTCTTCTTTTGGCGCTGGCACGTCGCCGGCGAACCGCCCCCGTCCTTCCGGCGCCGTCAGGACTGGTATCGGATCAAGGTCCTCGTCGGGCGGGACCGCGAGCAGGAGCTCTCGTACCCGACGCAGCTACAAGAGACCTGGCGTATCTTCGGCGCTGCCGGCCTTATCGCGTCGAAGAAGACGCACCTCCCGCGCAGGGTGGGCGCCCAGGACGCGGAGACCCATGGCACGTCGCTCGCCCAGATCTCGCAGGCCGGCCGCTGGAACCAGAGCGTGCTCTGCCAGGCATATCTTACGCACCTACCGCGGCAGTTCATGCGTATCGTCGCGGGGAACCCCGCTTTGAGGCGCGGGCGCGCCGGCAATGCTGGGCAGAAGGCGGTCTCGACGACGACGACTTAGCCGCCGACGGCTTCCTTAAGCTTATGCGGCGCCTGCGTATAGTACTTCTGCAGGACCTGGCCGTCCTACAGCTCCGCTACCCGTCGCTACCGTTCTTCGCCTACGCCCCTTTAGCGGGCCCGAGTGGGACGAGTTCGCCGTCGCCGTGCGGTCCACCGCGGTAGGGGCTATGGAGCCGGTAAGCCTGCTCGTACGACGCGCGCTGCCGGAACTAAGCGGCGTCATAGAGAGCACGCGGGAGGCCCTGTTACAGAATAGTCAGCGGCTCGCCATCCGGCTTGAGGCCCGGCTGGACGGGATTCAGGGCGGCCTCGATGCCCTCCTCCAAGGCAAGGTCCCTATCACCTTTACCGGTTACTTCGGAGCCGGGTCAGCAGAGGCGCTGGCGCCGGCCCCGCCCCGGCGCCGTCAACAGTACCTACCTTGAATCTCAATACAGCCCGGCCCCGGCCCCGACCCAGAGCCTCTGGTACCAGGCATGCCTATCGTCACAGCCCTGGCAAGGGTCTTTACGGTGGGGACGTCTGGAAGGAGTGGGAGGAAGGGTTTGCAGGTCAGAAGGCCGTACGGGAGCTGGAAGAGACGTGGGAAGCCGCTGGCGCCGGGGAACGGGGTCAGAGTGCAGTTCTGTCGCCGGAAGGTGATCTGGGACGAGCTGTTGGCCCGTATGGCGTCCGGCAAATGCAAGGAGGCGGCCGTTGCAGAGCTAGAGCTGTTACGCGCCGGCCGAAGCTTGAACCGACTCGTCGACGAACTCAAACAGCGCCGACGGCGGGGCCAGGATCGGGGCCAGGGCCAGGGCCAGATACGGGTACAGGTAGGGACCCCCGTGCCTGATGACCCAGGTCCAGGCCCGGGACCAGGTCCAACTCGAGGTCAGGGCCGTCGGGGGCGGAGGACCCGGCTGGGAAAGCGGACCGCCCCTCGTCGACGTAAGCCAGCCGCCTCGTAGAGTCTTTACACATATTTATATCCATGTAACTAGACATATTTTTGAGGATCAAAGGGCCGTAGGATCAGTGCATTACTATCTCACAGTTCCTGTGGCCGAGCCTAGCCCCATTACCCATTCGCGGCGCTGCAACGCAAATATCTCGACGGGCAGTAGCCTATACGGAGTGCTCCTCGACCAAACGCGCCGCCGGTGTAGTAGTCCCCAGGCCCCGGAATGGCCTGGATTGGGCTGCTGGCCGTGGAGATATTCGCGTGCGCGCCGCCGGGCACTTATCAGATGGTAGATGTGTAATCGCATACGATTTCCCGAAATTACTCCGCAAATCGACCCCACGATAAGTCCTGCTTATCAACCGCGCATTTCATTATACGCGTCCTGAATGCGACAGTGCGCCTTGCGCCTGAGAATGTGCGCTCTGGGTCCGCAGACATGGCGGGTATTGAGAGTATGTCTATCGCTATCTTGGACAACCGAGGGAAACGTTCACGGTGTTCATCACGGTGCCACCAGGAAAGTGGTGAACCGTCAATCTGAATAGGTGACTGCGATCATGCGATGTGAAGGCTTCATACTCGTCTGCGTCTGGTCCCTTGCCTATGACATCAAGTTCCTGTGCGAGTAAGTCGTACTCGTCCTGTTGCAGTACTGAAACCTTGGAAGGCGTCACAGAAATTGTCGGCAGGTCCATATACCCTTCTTCCCAGAGCTTCCTCACTGCGTCAAAGGTTCTTTTATGCCATGACTTGGGCCAGTTTTTCTCAATATGAGCCTTTCCTCGAGATGGATGAAGAATCAGGGGCCGCCCACATGTCCACTCGTGCCCCAGAGGACCCAAGTAGCGATCCTGCCATTTTTCCTCCAGATTCCTCTTTGGGAGCGACTGTGGGAACCCGCTCCACCAAAGAGCTCCAGCATGAATGTAGGTGGGCTGGGCATCAGCGCAAAGCTATGTCGCCGGGGTGCAAATCACACAATAGGACGGGAGCGTGCGCCGCTGGTCCGGGAACAAGAGTCGCGCGGTTATTTTGATTAAATCGACGCAAATTTCTTGCCTGCCACTCTTTGGCTTTTGCCATGCTCGGCCCGGACGATGGGAGACGATTTGATATCAGGCCGTTGGCCGGCCGAGGCTCAACTCCCTTTCCACCCGAGCATGCGTCTCTGGGCTTGCGAGGCGCGTGCCCACCAAGTTAGCCATGACACAGGCGGCAGCAGGGATGCGATCGCGGCAACGTTGTGGAGGAAGAACAAACAGCGCGTCAGAGAGCACTGTCAATTAGGTGACCTTCCGCTTCGCCGACCACAACCGGCTAAGGCGGCGGCGGACTACGGGCCACACAGAGCGACAGCGGGGAGCTGACGCTTGACTCGTGCTGTCCACGACAGACGCGGGCCAAAGCCGCCGCGAACGTTTTGAGTCCTACTCACGACGAGCATGTGGGGGGGGAAACTCATGGACGTCATTTGTGCATAACGCGCCAAGGCGGCTAGACTTATGTTCTTGTTGATATCATCTTGTACCCACTCTTTGATGGCTCACAAGCTCCACCCGTTTCAGATTCGAGCGGTTTAATCTGCAGTGATCCACTGCGGAAGCTTGTTGTTTATGCTTGTTGTCAGTCTGGAACGCACTGTTGCACCCACCGGGTTTTGATAGCATCCTCCGGGCGAGACGGCCTGTTTCTCGCGCGGCAGCATCCGTCCCGCGAGCGCTCTTTCTGTCAAATTTACTAAATCATGCAAACTTTCAAATCCACTGTAACCGATTCGAGGGTTGAAGTCGGTGGCTAAGGGCACTCTGGATGCGAAGGACTAGATTCCGAGGGAGGACACCATGGCTGAATTGAGAGTTGCGTGTGTGCGAATAATGTCTCTTACTAAGCTAGTCTAAAATCGTCGCCCGAACTACGACGTAACAATAAGGCCTTCGCGCAAGTCCTGCTCAGCTAGAGTTTTCTTTTCCCTTTGAGCGGCCACCAGTGACTTGTATATATCGGTCTGTTTTAGACCCCCCAATTTGGTTTTTTTATTTTGATCAAGATCGTGTTTCCATAACTTAGCGATCTCAGTGTCGAGGTTAGGATACATAGTCCCACACCCGATCTCGGTGATCTGGCACCAGCATGACATCGATTAGCATAGCCCCTAGTTCCTCCAGGGAAAAAACATGGAGGTGCCAAAAAGAGCATACGGAGTTTTCTTGGCACCTCCTTATACTTCATTTTGGTAAAGACAGGAGTGAGGAAAATGAGCGTAACTTACTGCAGGAGCCGGCATCCTTCCAATAATATACGCCTCGATAACCTGACACGTGGGTTTGGAGCACTGCAGCCGAGCGGACCTCTTTATCAGCTTGCGACCAGGATGCGGGTACAAGTGTGATTCACACCAGACGGCAATTGCCGCGCGATGAGATTGGGAGAAAGCAGTTGTTGTCTCGTAAGGGGGTGAGTATCGCTTACCACATCGGGTTGCTTTTGGCAGAGGTCCTTGATGAGGCTTTGGTTGGGGCCGCTTTGGTTGTTCTGGGACTAGGAGCGCTATGTCAATGAGGTTGCTCAAGGATTAATTGTAACGGGTGCTGGGAGGCTTGAATGAGGTACGACTGTCTTACCTTGTTCGATTGATTCTCTGCTTGTTTCGATTGATTCTCTGCTTGTTTCGATTCATTCTCTCCTTCATTCGACTAATTTACATACGCAGTGATTAGTGACGAGCCGCATCTATCGTTAGGGAGCCAACTGGGTGTGGTTGACTTTGTCTAGGAATGAGAAGGGGAAGAGGCTAGAGCTTACGGCTTGTTTGATTGTGCACCCGAGCTCCGGCTCATTTGTAAGAACGTTGATCTGGGAAATTTAGGGTTAGTTAATCCAATAATGAAATGAAAGGGCCGTGGGATCCTGGGAGGCTGGCGACAAGTCGAATGGTTGATGCTTACGCTGCAATCGATATGCTCGTTCGGGTAGATCTTCATAACCTCACTGATTGTCTGTATCGTCATGGTTAGCCACCCAAGAGTGCCTATTCGTTATGTCTGTTGCCGTAGATCTCGAGCCGTCGCTTACATAGTTCTTGTCCGGATCAAGCTCCTGCAAACCGGCGGGGAGCTGCCTGCGGTTAGGGGGCCAGAATGGGGTTCGCGTTTTGTCGAGGTGGTGAGCCATAAGAGGTCGGTCGGACTTTGCCCTCGCGATGTTCTCGTTGTAGCATGAGAATAGCTGCTCCTGGGGCAGCTGCTCCTGAGTGCAAGCGCTGAATACAGGCCGGCAATATGCGTCCAGATTGACTGATTTCGCTTGACATATCTTCTGCTGAAAGTTATCCCAGTCTGTGTAAGACTGATCCGCCGCACCCTTCGAGTTCGGGGCAGTGCCAGCGGCGTTGTTGCCATCGTCGGCAGCCAACGGTTGCGCCAAGGCCAAGCTGGCAGAGGCGAGAAAAACGAGAGAGTACTTCATGTTGACCTTGGTAAAGGCTGGAAGAGTTATTGAAAGAATGTGGAGGCTTTGCCTTTTGGCAGTTTTTAAAACGAAGGACGGTGGAATATCTTGGTCGATATAAACTGTGAGGGGTGAAGCTGAAGTTTCTACTAATACCTCGGTGGGTGGAATGGTGTTCTATATATACTTGGAAAATAACGACGCAAACTCCAGGACAGACAAATCCTCTTAGGCGAGCCCAAAGATGCATAAGATGAAAAAGGGCATTGAATTATTGGCTATCATAATCAACGGATGGCAAGAGTCATGCTTGATTCGACTGCTAACTGTTTATAGTGAGCATAACGCAGCATCCCTGCAGTACGCGTAAGTACTAAATTAGTAACTCTATTATTACTATAGGGCCCTGACTAGCCAACACACAGCTCTGACTATTTAGCGCGTAAAAAGTTAGTCACTGAGGTGCATAAGTTGCCACGCTTACTCTAATGATTACCATGCTCCACCCCCCTTTCGGTAACACCCACCTTTCGGTAGCGTAATTGAGAAACTCTCCACCAAAAGTCTACTATTTAAACTATATAAAATATGATCAGAACTTAACATTATAAACATAAAAAATATATCATTCCGTAGAGAAATAGACGCTCTTATATATACTGGCGCTTTTTTACTATTCGCCCGGATCTGGTGGGGGCTGGAAGGGCTTCGGGTGCTACCTTGACTTCGATCACTAAAGCTGTCTCTACCTCTAAGACCGCCTCCTCCTCTATGTTAGAACTTAGTATAACGGCTATCTCTTGGCTTTTAATTTAGGGAATGGTTTCCTTAGCTACTAAAGCTTTACTAAGAGTTATGAACCGTCTATTCGGGTTCGGAATTGCTCTCCTCTTCTTGCCTCTCTATAGCCGGGCCACTTCTTCCTCTAGCTTCGCGATTCTATTACTATGCTCGGCAAGCGTCTGTTCTTAGGCTTTAAAGCCTCTAGCTATCACGGCGTATCGTCTCCGGGTGCTAGGAGTCTTGTTCTTTCCGAAATCGCGAATCTAGCGGCTATTTCTTAGCGTATTATTAGAACCTAAAAATGGCGCGGACTTTAGAGATATCTCTATAATGTCTGCGTGAATTTCTAGATGCCGTAATGCCTTAGATCGTAAAATCGGCCAATTCCTAGTAACCCTCTAGCCGGACAATATATTCTTTGCCGTTATTCTAAACTCGCGCGCTTTAGTATATGCCCGTATAAAATTAACCTTATAAATAGGCGCAGAATCGGTTAAATAGGTTAATTTCTAAAGTTCTTTCCGGTAAGCTACCTTAGAGGCATTAAATATACCTTTATCTAACGGCTAGAGGCTATAAGAGTAGTAGGTAGGAAGGTAATAGTAATAAACGTTGTTTAAAAGTATATAGCTATCTATATATCCTAATCCCGGTTAATAGTAATTCCTATAGAGTTAGATAAAGAAACGCACCGTTATATAACTTCTATATCTATTTAATATAATTAGTCTAGTATCTAAAGCATCGGCTAGTCGCGTCTAGGGCAAATAGACCCTCTTAAGCTACTTAATAGCGATATAGTTATCCGTCTATCCGTTAGGCGACGTTATATAATGCTAGTCGGCTATTTTACCGAATTCCGTTAAGAACTACTATTTTTAAAGTTCTTTGCCCTTAAAGATAATGCTAGGGGTAAGGACACGGCCGTCCGCGGTAATAGCTTTAATAAATAAGGTCTAGTTACGGGACTATAGCCCTTTTAGAAGGGCCTTCCGTTTTAGGTCTATACTCTTAACTATAAGACTATCTAAACCTAGCAAAAAGAGTCTAGTTAGTAAAAGTAATAAAAGATAAGCTAAATACTTACTAAAGCTAGATATAATAACGCCTTCGTTAATATTTACGGTATTTTCTAGTTTAATCTATCTATACTCCTTTTCCCTAATATCGAAGAACTAGTAAACCGCCCGAGGCGTAAAAGCATTAAATCGGTTAGCTTCCTAACGTCTCCTACGCTTATTCTTAATATCCGGATAGCGATTAATAAATTTAGAGACCTAGTTGCGCCCTACTATCCGCTCGTTGTTTAGTTACTTTATAAGAGCCTCTATATATACGCGGATCTAACTATAGGAGGGAGCATAGCCGAGAGACTCTTAACGGAGGATCTAAGAAACTAAGCGAGCTTCCTAAGACTTACTTAAGGGTTAACGAGGCTAGATCTAATTAGCTAGGGCTACCTAGCCTTTAAGTCTATCGGAAATAGACTGCTAAGGTATATTATACTTTTAGGCGGCGCGGTACTACGATAAGCCGTTTTTTATAATATTAATTATCGTATTAGCTATAATATCCTCTATATAAATACTCCGAGGCCGCTTTAAGGTTATTTTAGTTATATAGTAGAGGAATAACGAGAAGAATTATCGTTAGGAGGCGGAAGGAGATTAGGGGGTTAGATAGTAATTTCGCGTGCAAGGTACGTATAGGCTATAGACCCCTATATAAACATTTAACCATCGAAAAGTAGAATTCAATTAATCTTCTATCTACTCTAAGTAACGGCTTATAAATATCTTTAAAGCTGGCTGGAATCGGTGTAAGTGAAATTAATGGTTTTTAGTAGGGATATTTTCTAATGCGCTACCGAAAGGTGGGTGTTACCGAAAGGGGGGTGGGGCATGGTAGTTGTTTTCCTAACTGCTCGATCGGTAGCTAGGGCAGACGCTTCTGCTCTTGTTCTCCTATTCGTGCCTTGGTGCTCCTCTTATGCTCCCTTCCTCTCGCTTACCCTGCAATCGTCAGCACCGCTTTACTTGCCTTCTTGCTTCAACTCTCCCCTATAAAAATTCTTCCCCCGTCAGAGCTGTTAGCGGCTCGCTAGCAGGGGGCCGGATTTGCAGGCCACCCGACCGCGCTTTTGCTGCCCGGGTCCATCGTGGCCCTAACAGCACAGAGGAAGACCTTAGGAGAGTTCATATAGGCTCTAGTTACGGAGGAAGCTTTCAATAGTCGTTGCTGACGCTAAAATAACCCTGTTAAGAAAAAGGAAGAACGTACTAAATTTCTATGGCTCTACGAAGTATTCCCTGCTAATACCGGTACTATCCCTCCTTCCCTCTCGATACTTATTGCCGCCTTTTAATTTAATAATTTTCTGCATATACCGAGGAATTCGCTTAATCTAGCCTTATATCTTCTCTTACGGAAGCTCTTTCTAAGCTGCCTCCTAAGCAGAAATAGCTTTAGCCCGGCTTTTCGGGGCGCCTTTTTTCGTAGTAGTTCTTTTTAGCCAAGGCCAGCAAGGCTTAATAGCATTAAGATTAGGCGAATTGCTATACTAAAGAAGGCGCCGGACTTTATATAAGTCGTATACCTACTGCTAGATATAGTAGTTATAAGCCGGAGCTTTATCTTCTTATATAATTATCCTAGGAAGATCCTTCTCGTATTCCTTTACGAAAGGAAAGAGCTTTAGAATTAAGATCTTAGTTTAGTAGCGATACTAATCGATGCCGCCGCGCTTAGAGCTTCGGGAGAGCTTGCCGTTCTTTAAATTCTATCGCTACTTAGGCTTTAGTCCGGGAAGCTACCGTAGGTTTAGTCGTCGTATGCCGTTATTAAGTTCCTACGTCTCTTTTATTAAGGGCTCTAATTCCTAGTTTATTTTCGCGATATCTTCTTCGGAAGATTTCTTCTCCGCAGCAGTCTCTAGAGCCTAATAGTAATAAGGGCTCTTTTTATTATAGGAAAAGCAGCCCTAGAATATAAATTCGGAGGATCCTTTCTATCTCTCGCGAATATAGCTACGAACAAAACGTTCGTTAGCTTTTCTCTAGACGCGATAGCTTCCTCGGCGGTATAAAAGAATAACCGAAGTCTTGTTAGACTAAATAACCTTCTTCTAATCCTTAAGGGTCTAGTCTTTATACGAGAAACACTACTCGAGTCGGTCTCTTATCATCTTCTTCGTTAATCTAGGCTTCCTTATTAGCTTAGTCTTCCGGAAACTAGCTTTCTTTAATACCCTCTATATAGTAATAGAAGACACTAAATGCCCTACTAAATTAAGCTCGGCAGCAATATCAGTATAGTTTTTTCCCTTCTATACCGGTCTCGGCGAACCTTCTTAAAAACCTCATTTTTAATAGCAGCTTACTTAGACGGACGGCTAGAACGAGGAGCATCTTAAAGCCATTCGTCTCGTATAGTTAACGGTAGCTAGTTTGGCTAGAAGCCTCGCTTAATTGCTCGAGCGTATATACTATTAATCGTACGAATCGAAATTCCGGTTAAAGAAGAAATCTCTGCCGATGATTTGCCGCTATAAGGCGCCTTTAACGTAATAATTAATGCTCGAGTTAAAATATTAGTCTTTATTTTATAAGAGAAATAATAGTTAAGTAAAGAAATTGAGGGGAAATTGTAGATATAGGAGGAAAAGTGCGTGTGCGGGGTTCTTTGTTCTTCCTTTTTCTTAACAGGGGTTATTTTAGCGTCAGCAACGACTATTGAAAGCTTCCTCCGTAATGGGCCCTTGGATTTCCTTATTGGGCCCTTGAAGTGTGGCTAAAATAGTCACATGACTGCCGCGTCGCTCCACGAGCCTGTTCAATTGCCTCCTCATTTACATTCCATTAAGCACCCTACGTTCAACGGCTCTACGTGAAATGCAGTCATGCTGTCGGGCCTATGACGCCGGCAAATGTGTGCACCGGCGCGCGCGCAGGCAAAGCCGCAAAGTAGGGTTGACAGTCCGCCACAGTCTCAGCCACACTTCAAGGGCCCAATAAGGAAAACCAAGGGCCCATTAACTAGAGCCCTTTATATGAACGGTTGAGGCTGCTAAGAGTTAGCGGGAATAAAGGATGTTGCAAATGTCAAGACTGACTGAAATACTCTCCGAAAAACGACCTCAGCTGGCAAGTATAGGTCTTCAAAAAGGCAAGAAGCGCAAATATGCACATCAAGGGAGCATAGCTATTGAAGCCCCAAGCAAGAAGCTGTGGTATGTC